ATTATCTATTTCACCTGATACAGATTATGAATTACACCTTAAACGACCAATAGACAGTTGTTTTATTAACAATTACTTTGTAGCTGGAATAAAAGGGTTTGCTGCTAATGTTGACTTACAGCCAGTTTTCAATCACTACAAGTGTATTAAAACAACATCTTATTTCAGATTTTCTAAAACCTTAATGTAATTTAAATGTACAATTTATTTATCTATTTATTTATTTACTTTATTCTTTGATCTTTTCTTTTCTTTTTGCTTCTTATATAATTATATATAGTATTATTTTAATTGTAATTAATTAGGCCCTTTATTCTGAAAAGCCTTATAGAGGACGAATAAAGTATGTATGTATGTATGTATATCACATGTTTGTTCATACTTCACTAAAGATGAGACTGAATGCTCACAAGCAATCATGAATGCAGCAAGGGAAGCTAAAGATGCCAATATGAACGTAAGAGATGGATTGAAAAAAATTGGAGCTGCATTCCTCTCAACTAGAGAAGTCAGTTCACAAGAATGTGTATACCGGTGTATGCCTGAATTATGGCTAAGGAAGATTTTCCCAGCAGCAATCTTTGTCAGCACTGACTTACCAGACAGAAGAGTACGCATTGCAAAGTCACAAGAGGAACTTGAAGAGCTTGATGATGAAAGTACAGATGTGTACAAGTCCAATATTATTGAACGCTACACTAAGAGACCACAATCTATTCCTTCTGTTAACAATCTATGTCTAGCAGAGTTTGCCTCTTATTACTATAAGGATTATAAAAAGGAATGCCATGAAACAGCTGATGCCCAACCACAAGTGCTCACAGACAATTTGATTGAAATTCAACATACCAGTATGTCAGAAAATCAAGAGTCTTTACTTCCAGACCAAATAAGATTAACAGATACTAATGAAATTATGAAACAAAGCTGTAATAAGATATCATACACCAAACAAGAGAAAGGAGCCTGAAAAGTTTTTTCATCATTTAATGATGCTTTACCATATATGGAGAGATGAAAACAAGCTCTTGGGCAGTGATGGTACCTACGCATCAAAATACTATGACCCTGAAGTTCAACCAATAGTAGATCATAACAGGTCTATATTTGAACCTGATGTAGATGCAGTAGCAGAAGCACTTGAAAGTCTAAGAAACAACCCAGGCATCATTCATTCTTATGATTCTATGAATGACCAAGAAAATGATGATATACACAATGAAATGCACAATGATCCAAATCAAGAGGAATGTTTTACTGAACAAATACCTTCACATCTGTCTTCATCAAATACTGATGAACATGTGCCTTCAGGAATATCAGGATATACTCAACCTACAGCTATATCTGATGTTGAACTATGCCAGTACATAAGATCTTTAAACAGTAGACAAAGATATGCATTTGATCATGTGTTCTCCTGGTGTAGAAATAAGATGAAAAATATGAATAGCCTGAAACCACAAGAAGTCAAAGAAATATGTATTTTTATCACAGGAGGTGCAGGAGCTGGTAAAAGCCATTTGATTAAAACAATATACCATGCTGTAACAAAGACTTTTACACATGCACCCATGCACCCTGAGCTGCCATCAGTACTTCTAATGGCTCCCACTGGAGTTGCTGCTATAAACATTAATGGGACAACCATAAACACAGCTCTAGGAATCCCAAAACAAACAGGTGCTACTTTAAAACCATTGACAGACCAAAACAGAACACAAATGAGGATTTTTCTATCTCAATTGAAGCTTATCATAATAGATGAGATTTCTATGGTTGGCAATACTACCTTACTACGTATTCATCAAAGACTAAGAGAATTGTTTGACACGCCAGCCTCTAAACTTTTTGCTGGAATAAGCATCATTTGTGTAGGCGATATGTATCAACTACCACCAATAAAGAGAAAACCAGTATTCGAAAACTACAACAATGAGACATACAACCTGTGTCATCCCTGGCATCTTTTCTCAATGATAGAACTCACTGAAATCATGAGACAAAAAGATGACCAACCGTTTGCCAAGATGTTGAACAGATTTCGTACTGCTACCCAAACTGAAGAAGATATTAAATGCATTCAGTCAAGATCAATAGACCCAACAGATGATAACTATCCATCAAATGCTATTCATGTATTTGCTGAAAACAGACCTGTCAATCAGCACAACCACAATAAACTAGAGCAATTACCTGATCTGTGTTTCAACTTAGGGCAACAGACCAGTATCCTAAGAATGTTTGTCAAAGTGACATTGATAAAGTTTTATCAAAAGCACGATCTGAAACAGGAGGGCTGGATTATGACATCTTTGTCAAAGTAGGAGCTAAGGTAATGCTGACAAACAACATTGACATTGCAGACAGACTGATTAATGGCCAAATAGGCAGTGTTGTAAAAATTGATATCAACCAAGTTACACAAAAACCAACTATTATTTACATCAAATTTGATGATGACAAAGCTGGCAAAAATATGATTACAAAATCTAGCAGCCTTTTTGTTAGAGAAAACAATGCTGTGCCTATTGAACCAATACTAGCAAGGATCAAAATAAGACCAGGTAAAGCATCTTCACCAGAAATACAAAGAGTACAATTCCCTATAACATTAGCATATGCTGTAACAATACATAAGGTTCAGGGACTCTCTTTACATCAGGTTGTAATAAGTTTTGAGCTATTCAAACAAAGATCATTCAATTCTGGACAGATTTATGTTGCCTTGAGCCGTTCAACATCTCTTCATGGTATTTACATCTTGGGAGACATTCAAAGTAAACATGTAAGAGCAGACCCTAGGGTACATAAAGAATATGAAAGATTGAGGGAAATTTCACCATTGCATCCTCAAACAATTACAGAATCTAGCTCATCTTTAACCATTTCTCTTCTTAATGTCAGGTCATTGACAAAACACAGCACTGRTGTTAAACATGACTCTAATATTTTCAATGCTGACATGTTATGTTTTACAGAAGCACAATTACTTCCAACTACCAATGACAATGAAATAAGAAATAATCTCCATCCCTTCACACTATTTAGACAAGATCATATCTCTGACAGATATTCCAGTTTAGCAATTTGTTCAAAACCCAATCTAGAAATCAAGGAACATGACTATTTTCCAGAGACAAATGCACTCAAATTTATTGTTGTCAATAATATAGCACCTGTCCCCATCACTATGCTTCTACTTTACCGTAAACAAAGTTCCAACATTTCATATTACATAAACAGCATTACATATATTCTGAATAACCTTGAAGTGGATGTCATACTAGGTGACTTTAATATAAACTATTTAAATGACAATGAAGTTCAGCCACTCAATGTCCTCATGGACTCCTTAAACTATATCATACAAACTATTGAAACTCCTACATTTATATCAGGAAGTTTGCTAGACCATGCATATGTAAGAAATGAAATGCTCAGCATAACTGGCACTTCTGTAATTCCTGTATACTACTCTGATCATGATGCTGTCAAAATCTCATTGCGTTTTAAGTAAATTCTATATTTCCATCAAAGCATACCAAATACATAATAATACAAATAAGATTATTTTGAAGAATACTGACTTTTATATTATATCCTATCATATCACATAACAAAATATCAGTAGCACCTTTCTGGTGTCAYGACATCTTCAAGGCTGGAGCATAAGGTAAGTATAATGCTGACTTGCAATAATCAAATAATTTGACAACATCATTTAATTATACATTACTTATCCTTCTTAATTTCAGATTGATCTTAAACAATAAAAACATGAAAGGAAAACAATCTACAAGACAAGTATAAAATGTATGCTAATTTGGTCTTCATCAGTGTTTGGCAAACCACGAGGTGGCCAACAGAATGCAATGGACAGCTTTACTACAAGTACAGCATAATTTCATCAGTGTTTGGCAAACCACGAGGTGGCCAACAGAATGCAATGGACAGCTTTACTACAGGTACAGCATAATTTCATCAGTGTATGGCAAACCACGAGGTGGCCAAACAATTTGGTCATAAGCAAACCAAGTGAGTTAGTAAAATAGCTAATCATCCAAATACAATGGACAACTTACTGCAAAAATTCACTAATTTCTATAGCAAAATAAAAGAATATAAATAGGACTGGAATCTGAAGTGCAATAAGTGGAGGAGGTCGGCTAGTAAAAAAAATAGGACTGGAATCTGACGTGTAATAAGTGGAGGGGGTCGGCTAGTAAAAAAAAAATAGGACTAGGAATCTGAAGTGTAATAAGTGGAGGAGTGTCTTTGAATTGGCCCCTTTACAGTGAACCCGGATGTTCAAGATGTAGGAAATTTTTTTTGCGGATAAGACTATGAAAGTCTATTTTTTTTCCAAAATCTTCCAACTCCCCCTCAAAAATCTAATGGTCTGTCCCTTGCATTTCAATAACAACTTGCCCATCGCGTCCAGTTTCTCTATAACAGTTGTCACCAGCCAGCTCAACAAAGATTATTACATCAACATTTTGACAAGCTTTATTCAATCATCTTGCCCATCGCGTCCAGTTTCTCTATGACAGTTGTCACCAGCCAGCTCAACAAAGATTATTACATCAACATTTTGACAAGCTGTATTCATTCAAACTCAATGTATATATTTCATAAAATACATAATTCTGTTATGGCCTTATCATACAGTAACTTAACCATTATCTCTTACATTAAACTGTGTAACGAAAGCTTCTAGTTKACCCCGCCAAAATACAAGTCATTTTTTCTTCTACTCTATATTAAACGCCGAGTACATATTGAACATATTCTACGTCTAAAAAAACTCTCATCAAAATCTAATGATCATACTTTCCCGAAACGTAATCTCAAAGTTTTTTAAAACTGTCCGAAAATCAAATACRTAAAACACAAACTAGTCAATGTAACAAATGCTCAAATGTGATGCTAGCTGCTCAGAGCTGAAATGACTTTACAATATTTGTACTCTTATCGAACGTAATCTCAAAGTTCTCCAAGTCAAGAAGGCGTTCTACTACCTCATCTTCCGAATGGCTGGAGGAATCATCTGCGTCAGAACATCCCGGAATATAGTCAACCAAAGATAAGATTCTTCATTACTTGGATCACAAATCGCCACTTTTACGCTCATCATCTTAGGGCACGCTTCTAAAAGCATAATCGCCTTGCAATTATTGCACTTTGCCGACTTCAAAGTAGGTACGTCTGTAACATGTTTTGAACAGTTCAGACACGTGTACCAAGTAGCGTAATTGTTGATCATCTTAAATCCTTCTACTCTGATAGTGGTGACATCGTTCAATTCATCTTCATCAGGAACTGGAAATTCTTCGTCTATCTCATCGGCTACGGTGGACGGAGCTGTAGTCAGGTACTTGTGTTCACTGTATTGACGCACTTTCAAATTTGCAAAACTGTAAGCTCTGCCACTTTGAAGATCGCAGTAGGGATCCCAGAATCTTACCTTGATAGTACCTATTTAGAAAAACAAAAATGTGATTAGTCAACGCAGTTGGCTTGGTCATATAGGACTAGACATCACTCACCAGTGTTGTCAGTAATAGCCCCACGTAACAGCCTGATTGTAGATCCATTTTTTTTAATGGTCTCGATGTTTCTCCTGTCCATGCTCAAAAGATCGCTGGGACTCATTAAGCTCGCCTTTCTTTGTACATTCTTCAACTTTACTGGAGTACACGAAGACACGTAGGACGATCGATTAACGTTTAAGAATCGATCTGCTAACAAATGATTGAGCGAGCGAGTGAGCGAGTGACATTCAGACCCCTCACAATAACTCGTTTCTACGCTTCGCGTATCCACGAGTTAAAAAATTTTCAAGTTACCCGTGGGCGTAGGGCATAGGTGGGATTCGTACAGAGCCTGCAATATCGAAGACAGTAGCTGTCCGCAAGTAAGATACCACTACCATCTGCTATCAATCGCGAAGCATTTGGATCAGGAAGCGAAAATGCCAAAGCACTAGCCCTACAAAATGCTCAATATTCTTTTATCTTTTTTACCAAGCAAACCGCCTGGCAACAACGGTTCCCGCGAGACCCTCTCATTTTTTCGGGGTTGACCAACATAAACACATCCTCTCCGATTGCGCTCCTTTACTTTCACACTCCTACTACTTTCTCACCTTCTTTGTTTTCGACATAGGTAGCCCGAGTAAACGCCAATAAGGGCGTCTAGTTTATAGTAAGTTTTGTCTCTGTGGTAATAATATGGTGCATGTCAGCATAATAGTAAACTGCTGATAATCTTGGTTTTCATGGCAACAAGACGCAAAATGAGCGTTCACTCGGACTCTTTATTTGAGAAAAATACTTCGTGGCTACTAAGCTTTCTACATTTCATTCCGGCGGTTTATGATGGATATTTCAAAACGGTTTATAGACTTTTAACCGCCAATGTTTTGTACTTTGCTTTCCAAACTTGAGATGGACTAATTTTGCAACAAACAATTTTAGATATCATTTATTAATCGAAAAATTCTCTTATAAGCTTCATGACTCTGACAAAACCCAACTCCCAAAAAAACTATGATCGTTGTTTATAAGACTCAAGGAAAGACAGGTTTTTAAGCATAAAGGTCAGTGGACTTTTTATTTCATGTTTTGGCTCCTAAAGGAGCCGGGGTTTTAAAATAGTGATCGCTTTATGTCCAGCGAAAACCAGCATGATGGGTTTTCCCAAAATTGATGGTGAATTTTTCTACTGTTCCTGATGCGGCCTTCTTGCCATCTTTATCCAGAAAGCTGGGTGAACGGCCAAGCTAAAGTTTGATGCTTACTGGCGTAGCGACACAGCAACGGCCGCCTGTTACGGTCACATAGCGCTGAAGGAAGGAACCAAACCCGGCATCAATAAGCTCTTTCTCGTCGGCCAGGTGTGGTTCAGCATGAAAGTGTGAAGGAAGTCGAGGAAATATGGCTCGAACGACTTCGTGCTTCAAGAATCAGGGTTTCCTCGTAGTCTAGCCTTGGTTTAAGTCCTTTTTCAAAGGTAACTGCAAGTCGCTCTCTGGCTTTTTCTATATGTGCTGTCGATGGTGGCGTTGGGTTCTCGAACATCGATATGAGCTCGCTTGTCAAATGGTCTTCGGGTTCCCATGTGTTGTCTGTTGATGCATAGTTTGCCCACTTGACGAAGTACTGTGCTTTCCCTGAACGAATCCTCTTCCCCACCACTCGCTCTACCTCGAAGATTCCCATGAYGACTGGTTTTCTTTCAGGCTTGTACTTAGATTTAAAACACCCGTCGTTAAAGTCACTAAATAGTGAGGTATAATAACCGGGAGCAGGTCTCGAACGCTTTGACATCTTTACGCCAAGTGTGTTTGTGATAACTGAAATAAAACTTTTGCCCGTTCACGCGCGTACATCATTTATGTCATCAAATACTAGTTTCTTTCTGATAGGACGATTACAAACGAGCGATGCGTTTGTTCCAATCAAAATGCTAAAAAACAAAGCACGACCGAACCTCTTAGAAAACAGCTTAGAAAACAGCTTAGAAAACAGCTTAGAAAACAGCTTAGAAAACAGCTTAGAAAACAGCTTGTTTGCTTGCTCTTTAAAACCTATGTTGGGTAAAAGTTAATTTAAGAATAACAGTTTTTGACTTCCCTAAAAGTCATAATAAAAATGTTTGGGTGGTCAGCAATTAATTCAGCGTACAGGCATCAGATTACATGCTATGGGTGGATGTTGAAAGTTTTAACAAGCCTGAACACGTATCAAGAACCTGAGAACCCTTATTTAACGCGTCTATCATAAAACTGTTGTTGTAAAGCCCTGGTCCTCAGAGAATTTCAAAATGCCTGATAGAGAGTATCCAGTGCGACAACCAGCTGGGTGGCGCCATGGACGCTGTAGGTACTTAATCCATCCAAACGTCAAGGTATGTTCGAGTTTGAATGAGAACTACCCGCGAAAGCTAGTGTGGGCTGCGTCGATGTTTGTTCGAGTTTGTGGAATTTGGCATTCACAACGCATAGATAGTTTACTGCCGCTTTTTTTGCTGTATTAATTTTTTCTTGTACTTAACAGATTCTAAGGGATGCCGGCAAGGTCAAGCCCAAAGAAATAATTTACGCTGAGCTCATGTCAAAGACGGTTCAGACGGAACCACAGCCAGAACTGCTCGCAGTGCCAGGCGAAGTCTTTCTTCATTTTTTTATCCTGTTTATAATATATTTCATGTTGTAAGCTTGTAGCTTGAACTTATCATGATTTCTGTAATTCCTTAATAGCAATATTTCATTTCTATTTCACAAAAGCATCAATTTGTAAATATAAACAAACCCGGGGAAATAAACTGTGATACATATTATTGGCATTGTATACATCGTTTTGCTTGTTATTTCATCGGGGCCTGCTAGCACTTGAACGTTCAAAAGGACGGCTTACGACTAAAGTCATGAACACAATTGGCCTTACATGTATCCTTCACATGGCCTGACTCTTCAATTTTTGGCGGCGCTATTTCTACTATCCGTTTGAGAGCGGTAGTCTTTTTTCCAATCTCAAGAAATGGCAAAGCCAAATTTGATTGTTTGCTTTATGAATAATTGCCTGCCGTTAGAGAACGTTAACACAAATCAATCTTGTGAATCAAAATCAAAAAGGTTAATCTGGGACTGGGACCGAGGTGATGGAGGCGTAAGGAAGGCGAGAGAGCTCTCTCCCGCGAAATTTAAAAATTAGAGAGTAAATGGAAAGTTTTTCTTCAGAAAGTAAAAGTAAAAGAAGAAATCGTTCATCGACAAGTTCAGCTTCAAGTTCAACAAGATCCCCAGATCAAAAAAAGATAAAAAGCCAACTCAAAGAGGAAGAAGACACGCTCGACATGTCAAAAGAGCTGAGCGAGAAGCTCGATTCAATCTTACACAAACTCTCTAAACTGGACGCTATTGAAAATACAGTTAACTCATTTCAACTATCACTTGATAATCTCAAAGAAAAGACTGACATTCTAGAGAAAAAGCAAGAAGACGTTTGTCAGGATATGAAGAAATTAAAAGGATCACTAGATTGTCAAGATCAAGCTGTACAAAACCTCCAGCAAGAAATAAAGAAGTCAGCAGCTAAAATTAAGTCACTTGAAGTTAAATGCGAAGAGGTTAGTACAAAGAATCTCTACCTAGAAGCGTATTCGAGGCGGGAAAACATCAAATTCCTTAACATAGAAGAAGACGAGGACGAAGACCACAACAGAGTTCATCCTAAGAAAATTTCTAGACGAAAAGCTAAGCTTCTACGACTTTGACACCGTAGAAATACAAAGGGTCCACCGTAATCCGGCCAGGAGAGACAGGAGAAGTAAACCAGATAAACCAAGACCAATACTAGCCAGATTCCTAAGAGCAAAAGATGCAGAGAGCATTATGTCTCGTGGAAGGGAGCTTAAAGGAACCAAGTACCAAATGTACGTGGATTTGCCACAAGAAATCCTTATAAGAAGGCGCGCTCAGATGGCAACACTAAAAAAAGCTAGAGAGAACTCAATTCCAGCGTATTTCAGCAAAGCGGAGCCAGACAAATTATACATTAGGGGTCAGTTGTGGCCCGTAGGTAAAATCCTAGAAATTTAACTGATAATTTATTTATTTGTTCTTCTTACTCTTTGAGCTTTACTTAATGCCTTTAATCAAGGCCATTAATCATGGTTGATCGAGACATTTCTGTCTCATATTTATCGATACACTGAAGTTATAATTTAGATATTAGTGTGACGACAGAGAATTTTAGCCGAGTTAATGATTAGCTCAACCGTTCAATATTTAATTCAATTTAGTCAATAAGTCAAATTCAAGCCCAGTTGGTCATAATAGCAGGATAAAAGTTATAGTAAC